AACACGTAGCACAGGGAATCGACGAACAATACTAAAACAATACAGGAAACAAGGGGCAGAACACACTTTATATACAGAACTATCGAGGGACTAAACGAGGGACACCTGAAACCTATAAGCATAATTAACACGAGGGAGAAACTAGGTCACAGGGGGGAACATGGAACATGTAGGGGAGGAAAACAAACACAAACAACAGTCCATGGGTGTGACATTACTCCCCCCGGAAGGCGCGTCCCATGCCGTAACAATTCCATTGGGGGGGGTCGGCAGGTACTCTGGAGGCCTCTAGGGACAGGCTTACATGGGACGGACAGCCTCCAGGTCAGTACCTGTTCTGGGACCCATGGCGGATCAGGCAGACTAGGGAGCCATGGCAAGCAGACATTTCAGGAGGCCATGGCGGATCAGACAGCACAGGGAGCCATGGCGGAGCGGCCTCCGTGGCCTTGGCTTCGGCACTCGGCCCGGCCTCCCCCCAAAAAATACTTGGGGAAAATATCAACCCCTAAGGCCCTCCATGGACCTGACTTGGGGACTGGAGCCCTCCTTGGGCTGGACGTGGGAACTGGAGCCCTCTCTGGGCTAGACTCAAGGACAGGAGCCCTCTCTGGGCTAAACTCTGGGACTGGAACCCTCTCTGGGCTAAACTCGGGGTCTGGGACCCTCTCTAGGCTAAATTCAGGGACTGGAGCCCTCTCTGGGCTAGACTCGGGGACTGGTGCCCTCTCTGGGCTAAACTCGGGGACTGGAGCCCTCTCTGGGCTAAACTCGGGAACAGGAGCCCTCCGTGGGCTAAACTCAGGAACTGGAGCCCTCTTTGGTCTGGATTCGGGGGCTGGATCCCACACTGGAGCGAGCTCTGGGGCTGGAGCCGACACTGGAGCGAGCTCTGGGGCTAGGATGAGGGCGGAGAACAGTCTTTTTCTCCTCATCCTCCTCCTTTGGTTAGAGGTAAATGGCGTGACCGGCAGGCTTGAGAGCTGAGCAGCCGGCGGGCTTGACAACGGAGTGGCTGGCGAGTTTGACTGAGGAACGGCCGACGGGCTTTACAACGGAGCGGCCTGGCGAACTTGACTGAGGAACGCCAGGCGGGCTTGAATGAGGAACGTCCAGCCAAATGGCATCAATAATCTTACATTGTTAAAAAGTTTATATTAAAATGTTGTATCATGCTTTTGAAAGCAAAACACTCATTGTGGGGTTGCAGAGTTGGATGAAATATGGACGCATATTGCTACTAATAACATTTTTTTTCTAAAGTTACTGTGGTTACATGTTGATATGAGACATGTGATGTGTGAAGAAAACAAAGAATAATCTAAATAAATATAATTTATTTGTGTCATTTGCGATCACACTGTAATTTTAGCAAATTATGCCAAATTAAAAGTGTGCATATTATTTAATTGTGTAGGCTACTTAAAACAACAAGAAATGTTCATGTTTAACACGCATTACCACTACAGACTGCTATCGAACACAATAAATATTCAGATTTATTAATGACACTGTGGTGGAAATGTCCATGACTTTAAGATAATTGACAAAAATGTCAGAATTCTCCTGTGGTGCATGTTTATACCCTGTTGGACATTGTTAGTGGAAAATTAAACCATTGAGAGTGTGAAATGTGTTTTAGGAGAATTAAAGCACCCACACCCTTATTTTATGACTCTTTGGCTGATATAGTGACCAATCTGATTGGAATATCTGGCTTTATTGTCTGAATGACTCTGCCACATGCTCCAAAAGATACTGATGACTGGATAGATTAGATTAAAATTGTTTGTATCATATTATATTATTGTATTTGAAGTGAAAATGTGATGATGAAATCAGTTTTGACACTGTTTCTCATACATACAAGTGTGTGATTTTGTGTGTGGCAGAGACAATGTACCATGCCAAAGATGCTGCTATAGCATTGCTCCTTATAGAAAGGGGGAAGCTGTCAATTCAATACACTTCCTGTCCAGATCTATAGGGCCCAGATGTTTTCCTCTCCTGACAGACCTATGGACCTTAAGGACCATGTCACCATACTGCAGACAAAATGCTTGCAAGAAGCAGGAAGTTGGTAAACATTCTTAAGCTCACTTCTTCCTAATCGAAACATCCTGAGGGTTCATCTTCTATAATGGGGACATAATGGTCACATGAAATGGCTTTCTGTAGATAAAAGCATGTGATCACGCAGGGCATTTAGCCATGTTTACTTTCATTAGAATGCAGCAGCTTCTACTTTACCTGCAAACGCTTTTATTAGATGAGTGAAATTAATGGCTTATTAATCACACTGTAAAAAATTTCTGTAGTTTTTACAAAATAATTGTGGCAGCTGTGGTTGCCAGAATAATTTTGTAAAAAATACAGAAAAACTGTAAACTAATTTACGGCCAAAACCTGTAAATTTTACAGTATAAAATTGTAATTTACAAACAAGAAAATTTGAATGTAAAGCAGTAAATTCAACAATGCACTCTGCTATTAAAATCTGTTTTGTACCTTGAACATACTGACAACCACCATAATAATGCAGG